AGAGAAAGAATCAGTTCGCTTCAAAAGATTTATAAATAACTGAAGCTTAAAGGCTTAAAGGTGAGTTTCTGAGGATTTTTTTTTCTTTTTAATTTACTGAAAAAGATGTATCGTACCACAAAATAATGTTAATTTATTTTATTTTTCGGTGGAGAAAAATGCTTTTATTTTCGTCTAAAAATATCCTTTAATTAAATGTTCTAGGATTCTTCTTTTTGTACACAAAAAATAGGATTCTTTTTGTTTTTTCCTTCAAATTTATGGTAAATAATTAATTTATGTTATTATTCTGCTTGTAGACTTGTAGTTGGCAGTGAATCACAATTGATTATTCAGCTCAACGGTCATCTATGCAATTTTGAGTCTCCACGAGTAATCATTTTTTTTTCTCTATTTCCAATAAATCATATAGTATTTCTTTTTAATATATGAGAGATTCCTAAATTATTTACAGGCTAGAATTTTTGTGTTTGCTTTTCTCTTTTTTTGTTTTTGTTTTTTTGGTTATTTTCTTCTTGACATTTCGGGTCTTAATAAGGTTCGTATCTCTAAATTTTGACTTGTATAGTTGTATACATCGTCATAAAAAAAAAGACTTAATCAACTATATATTTGATGAAAATTAACTCAAATTTTTTTAAAATATTTTTTCAAAGCAACTAGTTTTCCAAAACCAAATTTTACATCAGAGTCCAGAGAGAAGAAAAAAAAAAAAGGTGCGAAAAACAATTATATGCTTTCTCTTTGGGCTCATAATGGGTTGGGAGGTAAAAGTCTGGGTAGGCCCAACAATAAATGTTAGAAATTTCAATTACCGGGTCGGGTCATAAGATCCGAACTTACAAGGACATTCAAAATCCACTCTAATTCTCTGTTCATCTAAAACCCTAAAATTGTTCGATCAAGCATTCGCCATTAACCTGAGTTTGGAGAATCAAGACACTCGGATCTTTCAGAATGGGCAAACCGACCAAAGGGTTTGGTTTCTCTTCTCTTGTTCGAACGATTATTAATCTGGGCTCAGATTTGTTGTTCTTGTTTTCTGGATTTGATTCACTGATGCCAAGTTTCTGACGATTTTTTTAGATCGGAAACATCTTCTAAATCTGATAAGAAATTCGAGAAGAAGCTTCAGTTTTACACAAGTAAGCCCTTATTTGTCTCGAATATGAAGTAATTTCTCATAGATAGTGAGATTGCAATGTGTGTTTATGTGAAACTTTGTTTGTTTAATGCAGAGGTCAAAGATACACTTACGTCTTTGTCTGTCCAAAAGGAGATTGGAAAGGTAAAAACATCCTCATTATGTTTCTCATTAGAGAAAGTAACAATCTTTGTTAGAAATCATGAAGAAATGTTGTTATACTGCAATCTGAGTCCGATTGTTTAGTTCCATTAGCCATTGTAGGACTTGCAGAAAGTTTAGAAAATGACTTCTACTATGGAGTTTTGTTGCTAATTAGAAAAGCTTTGAACCTTTTTCTTTTGTCCATATCTTTTGCTGATAAGGGACATTGTAATTATGGTTTGATCAGAAGAAGAAAATCGGTAGCCGTCAAAAGAAGCTAAAGGCGTATGATCTCTCTAATCTCTCGGAGTTTCTTCCGGAGTTTGATGCTTCGCAGAAATCAGCTCTTCCTGCACCCGACTTGAAGATGAATTGCAAAAGGCGACAACAGCTCACGTACGTCTCCATTTCATTTTATGGTTTAAGCTTTCTTTGTTGCGAACTTGAGATTTGCGTCTGATAGGATTGTATTGTGTGTATATATAGATTGACGGAAGGAGAAAGATTGAACAAGGTTCTGGACCATCCAGCTTTCCAATCCGATCCAGTTGGTTCGATATTTCAGCATTTGCAGAGTCAACAACCACCGGTG